GCGTTCGCGCGCCTCGTTCAGACGTTTCCTCAGGTTCTCGATCTCACGCTCGGTGCTCTCGAACGCCTCCAAGTCCTCGTCCGCCTTCTTCGATTTCTTCTGCAGAGAGTCGACCAGCCTGTAACGAGCGATTTCTCATTCCCCAACGATTCTCTCTACTTTCTTCTTTCAAAGACTCTCGGAGACAATGCTTGTGATTGGGTTCTAGGGATCTGGGCGCTTATGTGGAATGCTTTGTTGCGAGAAATTGTGGGATACTTTGAATGTAAACTTGAATGTTTCTCTGCAATGCTAACGAAAGCTAAGTTAGACCTAGGCAGATTAGGTCTTCAGGTAAGAGACCTCTATAGACCTGGAAGGTACAGAGATATAGGTGTATATAAATGGTACTTAGGTATATAAGTATCTAGAAATATAAAGTGAGAGGGGTTTGCACCCTCTGTATGGCTATATACTCTGTATCCCTACATACTTAAATATCTAAACACGTTGATATATCTAAATTCCTACGTTTCTCAACTCTCCAGATCCCTTATGCCAAAGTACCTAAGCGAATCTACGAATACTGCGATAAGTTTGACTCTAAAGAATATGGCGGCAAACGAAGACTTACGAGTTCCCTTTCCCTTAATCAACAGGCGTGCAGTTGCCCAAGTAGATGTTTACAGACTCGCGAAATACCAACGTCACCGACGGGCAAGTCTGCGGTCACTAGTTCGCTAACGGAAAACGATTTGCCCTCTTAGCCGCGTGCTCGTCCACGTCGGCCACGCGTAAAAATAGATTTTAGCATATTTCTTGTGCGAGTGAATCTCCAATAATGCGTGCCGGCACGTGGGATCATTCCATTGTTCCGGCTAATAGGACACAGGTTCGCCAGAGAAAACGGGGAATAAGGAGAAAAACGAAGAATACTTCGAATCGATTTAGCGGCCTTAAGGAATTGTTCGAGGCAAAGATGAGACGAAATTAGAATCGGAAATGCGTGTCGCTGGTACGGTTGTAGCTGGAACGAAGCCAGCTTACCGAGACGGAGGACGTTTTGGCTAAAAGTAGACGTCGGATATGTGTGTGCGAGTCGACGAGAAGTTTGGGAGAATCGAAATTATTCTTTATACTTCACGTTTACTGGGGTTTCATTCGGTTTTCATTTTGATAAATAGGGATCGTGTTGGTATTTCAGTATCGGCAGATGTCTGTTCAAATCGTTTGTAGATTTTTATATTCTCTTTCTATATTTTTAAACTTATTCTCAGGTTCTTATAACATTAGATTTCTATAATCTTAGATATCTCTACAATTTCTACAATACCAGATCTCTGTTACCACATCTCTATATTCCTAGATTCAAGATTCTTGTATCTCTAGTAAATTAACTTCTTCAAGGATACTGTCAAATATGTGCACATTTAACTTTCTTTAAATTCAACAGCCAGTGACCTCACATGTGAACTGCATTTTCTTCACATACATTATTGATGCTCTCCCAATTATTTCTATATAATTACTATCAACTTGAGAAATAAAATGTAATAATATTTGAAAAATTATACCACTTCCAAATTGCAAAAAAAATCGTCCCTAAAGGGATTCATAAACAAAAGTGTCTCAGGTTTATAATAAAAAGTGTCTCATTTGCATCTTCATAAATTATCTCAAATTTTCAAACGTGATTTATGTGCTAGTTTGTAGAAGAATACAAATTGGGAACAAATGACATGTTACGCACTTAAATGCATGTACATATGTACCACGAAGATTTGGGAAGTCCTTGCAAGAACGAGGCTCGGTTGTTTTTACGCGTTTCATCGTGGCCAAGGGAATGGAACAAGGTTCGAGTAAACTGCCAAGTGTTTTCATAAAGATGACAACATCACCGGTATAGCAAACCACGAGGAATGTCGCAAACTCGTCTCTCCATTTGGATTTGCATTATGATGCACGTCGATGCGTGTTTTTGTGGTTGTCGAAGTGATGTCAACCTTAAGTCGAAAGTCACAACTTGAAACGAAAATCAAATAACAGAGACAAGGTAAATCCTTAACTGCTGCAGAGGTGCAGTACCTGATACACATTAATATTTCAGCAATCTTAATTTAAGATAATTACAAACCTTGTTATCAAGGTAAATCCTACAATTTATTTATGCAGATAAAAGTTTTCTTTTGCAAATTCGAGAAAATTGTAAGAGCCAAGTATACCCCAGAATATCGAATACTCAAAGAAATTGTAGAAGTAAATTTCCTCCAATTATTCAACTGATTCAGCAGTTAAGGTTAATCAACCTCCGTTAATTGAAATTCGCCCATGAATATAAATTGCCCCATCGTTCCCAGATTAGTTATAACGTCATTTTTCCGTGAAATCACGCAACGTACACCACGTGGAAGCGTGAATTTCAGTGTATGGGAAAGGTTCGTGATGTCAATGTCAAGTGTCGTGCATGGTGCTCGCTTCTTTTCGAACAGTGACATCATCGTTGCTAATAGTGAACCGCGTTTAACTCGAGCGATTACCACGGTATATTTGAAACGAGACAGACATTTATAAAACAGGTTGCACGATCTGTCTGACTAATACGAAACTAGATACAAGCTTTCGGCGTTAGTCATAATTACGAAACGTCTTCAATATTCCTTGATAATTATCCTGGGCACGCGATCACTTGTCGAAAATCGATTAAACTTTGGCAGGTTCTTTGATATTTTTTAAAATAGCCACGATAGGTTAACACTTTGATGTCTGTTAGTAGACTATTTATGTTTTAGTTCATTTCGTTCATTTTTATTGTAAGGTACATTTTTGTAAAATATTCTTAAACATAATTTGTGTGGATTAGTTCTTTGATGTAGAGTTTCAAGCTCAAAATTGATAAATGTGGCAGAAAATTATTTACTGAATTTTTGTGAGTAATTCTTTGAAAGAAAGATATAAATGATGGGTTACAAGCAAGAAACCTAATTGAATTTTAACAAATATTTCTTTGGAAGATATAAATGTTTAAACATGTAGATCAGCTCTTCGATGCAGAGTTTCAAGCTTGAAATTGATGAACGTAGCAGAAAATTATTTACTGAATTTTTGTGAGTAATTCTTTGGAAGAAAGATATAAATGATAGGTTACAAGCAAGAAACCTAATTGAATTTTAACAAATATTTCTTTGAAAGATATAAATGTTTAGATATGTCAATAAATGTATAACATCCATTTGTGGAATGGATTTCACAAGATATGTAGTCATCAAAGTGTTAATACGAAAGACTGTCATCGGTAGCCGGAAGTCACTAGGTCCACGTGATGCAATCCTTATGCGGCCATGTGACTCGACCCAATGTACCTCAGCTTCACCATACTAAATCCGTTCGTCGCGATAATTTTAGTAACACCACGATCCACTTTTTCGATTATTCGAACACCATCTGTATTAAAAAAAACTTTCAATAACACCTCTGACTACCACACTAATTAAACCAATTCCTATATGGATTTAACCAAACACTTTTGGAGAGTGAAACATCTCTAGAAGTTTAAACAGACACCTTTGGAGAATGAAACATTTCTAGAAATTTAATTGAACATCTCTGGAGAGTCAAACATTTCTAGCAATTTAACTGAACGTCTCTGAAGATTCAAACATCTCTAGAAATTTAACCAAACACTTTTGGAAAGTGAAACGTCTCTAGAAATTTAACCAGACACATCTGAAGATTCAAACATCTCTAGAAATTTAACCAAACACTTTTGGAAAGTGAAACGTCTCTAGAAATTTAACCAGACACATCTGAAGATTCAAACATCTCTAGAAATTTAACCAAACACTTTTGGAAAGTGAAACGTCTCTAGAAATTTAACCAGACACATCTGAAGATTCAAACATCTCTAGAAATTTAACCAAACACTTTTGGAAAGTGAAACGTCTCTAGAAATTTAACCAGACACATCTGAAGATTCAAACATCTCTAGAAATTTAACCAAACACTTTTGGAAAGTGAAACGTCTCTAGAAATTTAACCAGACACATCTGAAGATTCAAACATCTCTAGAAATTTAACCAAACACCTTTGGAGAGTGAAACAACTCTAGAAATTTAATCAGACACTTCTGAAGATTCAAACATTTCTAGAAATTTAACCAAACACCTCTGGAGAGTGAAACATCTCTACAAACTTAACCGGACACCTCTAAAGAACCAAACATCTCCAGAAACTTAACCAAACACCTCCTGCGATTTAACTACATAATTCCAAAAATTTAATCAAACACCTCCGATGATTTAACTAGATGATCCCAAAAATTTAATCAAACCTCCAGTAATTTAACTATATAGTCCCATAAATATAAACACCCCTAAAGTTTACGTAAAATTGCAGAAACAATTAAATAAAAAATTCCAGTTATTAAAAAACGAGGCGTTTAAGAAAGGCGAAGTACCTATCCGAGCAAAATCGTAGATCGCCGTGTTTGGATCGATATCCGTAATTTCGCTCGTTTCCTGCGGTCGATGACTATTTGTACTGTGATTTATCGCGGATATCCGGATGAAACATCGGACAACAGTATGGCGCGGCACGATCAAGCTAAACAGCAGCGTTCATCTCTGAAGATTGAAACATCTCCAGAAATTTAACCAAACACTTTTAGAGAGCCAAACATCTCTAGAAATTTAACCAAACACCTTTGGAGAGTGAAACAACTCTAGAAATTTAATCAGACACTTCTGAAGATTCAAACATTTCTAGAAATTTAACCAAACACCTCTGGAGAGTGAAACATCTCTACAAACTTAACCGGACACCTCTAAAGAACCAAACATCTCCAGAAACTTAACCAAACACCTCCTGCGATTTAACTACATAATTCCAAAAATTTAATCAAACACCTCCGATGATTTAACTAGATGATCCCAAAAATTTAATCAAACCTCCAGTAATTTAACTATATAGTCCCATAAATATAAACACCCCTAAAGTTTACGTAAAATTGCAGAAACAATTAAATAAAAAATTCCAGTTATTAAAAAACGAGGCGTTTAAGAAAGGCGAAGTACCTATCCGAGCAAAATCGTAGATCGCCGTGTTTGGATCGATATCCGTAATTTCGCTCGTTTCCTGCGGTCG